CCAACGAAAGAGTTGTGCGGATGAATCGCCATTGTTCTAAATCGTGATTTCCCTCATGGATGAAGATAGTGTTTAGGCGATTAGGCGTTCTTTGTCTTTCTGTGTCTTTCTTCGGAGTTTTGAACATCAGGATAGATCCGTATCCTACACGATCCAAGTTGCAGAGCGTTTGCAGAGAGCAGACCCTTTCCCACATTAGTTGAGGATTCTAGTGTTACTCCTACTAAGTCTGGGCTCGCCAAAGTGTGCAGAGTTCGGGCAAGGAGTAATTCCTACTAAGTTTGTGGGTTTGGCTGTTGCTTCCACCAGAAGGCACAGTGACTCCCATCTGTTGAGGTCGTCAGATAATGTACCTCGCAATGTGATCCCTACTGTTTCGGGTACGTTCGAGCACACAACAGTCAGGGCACTATTGTTATGTCCCTTTTTCGTTGAGCTGTAAGGTTAGGGATCGTTTGTCCTGACTTGCTACCAAGTGATGATTGTTTGTTGTTTATCTCTCTATTCAAGTTAGTCTTGTTTGTAACAGCTGTGACTGAAAGGGTGGCCTCTTGGGTGAACGTTGTAGCAATCACGGTATGTGTGACTGATGTTCTAGTGGACTTTGACTTGACAATAGACCCCTGAGCTTCAGATGCTGGGCGTTGCTGTTCGGCTGTTTTGTCCTTATTGCATACAGGTGTCATCAAGACTTGTGAGATTTGATTACTCACACATTTCGGTTGATGCCTGATTTTTGCTACGAGCATTGTTTGTCTCTAGGAGCTGCAGCCAATTTTCGCCTGGTATTCTGCCAAAGATCGGGAAGACAACGACGATCGGGACCTAGCTGGTCTTGGTCCAGGAGCAACAACTTATGCACCATTCTTTTGGTTAAACGTCCCTAGGTATAACTTTCGGACTTTCTTCTAATGAGATGATCTTAGTGTTCATTCGCTGGTCGGCTTCTGCTACCAACCGTTTGCATTTATGTCCTAGGACAAGCATACACTTGCCGAATAACACGGTCGAACAGGTAGCACCGAACCAAAGGGCACCTTAAGAGCTAATCATCTCGCACCTGCTGCTGGGATAAGCTAGCACGTTACGAATGGTACCACTTGGAACAATGCGAGCAAGTTAGTCCTAGTCTGGTTAAGCGATTACATCCTCAAGACCAGTAGACACCCTTAACTTGGAGCCCTTTTGGGATTGCGCTTACTGGATGTTTGCCATTCGGCCTGGTGTCGTTACCTGAGCCAGTGGGATGACTGATGGCTTTTCCGACTTCAGTGGCGGTATGCACCGGGCAAGCTAATGTTGAAGTTATAAAGGTCAGGGGATCGGCCGAGGGAGTTTATCTGACTTCGCGTCGGTCCCAGGGGTATGCAGCTGCATTAGTTAACAAGGCCACCAACGAATCCAAAATGGCGGGCTCAGATAACAGCTGGCCCAATCACCGAGCTCTCAGAAAGTAGCCAGAGAATATCAGTCAAATTAGCACAGATTGAAACATACATCAAAAAAAAGAACATTGGTGCACAACTCACCTAGAAAACACGTATAAGACAGTAATCCAAAGGTAAACTTAGCATCCAGAACAGGTAGTACAAAAATCCGCGGTTTCTGTGGGTACAGCAGGTAAGGTGACGATTCTCATGGGCATCTCCAAAGCTTTCAATAACTGCAGCGCATTATTTTCCGGTTTGCAAAGTATGCAAGTGTCAGGAACACAAACGGCACACATTTCGGTCTCGCCGATGTGGGTTCTAAGTGGGCCATGTTCCAGTTTGGACCCAGAGATATCAGCCAGCAGAGCTCCAAAAGGGATTTCATGGCTGCTCTATCAATCTGACGGTGTATTTCACCGGTGAAGCTGAGCCGAACACTTAACGTGCGCAAAAATTATAATACTCAACGCAAATTTTCCGGAAAAGTTGTCTATATAAGCGGTTGTCGAGCGAGTTTTGAGCAGAGGAATTTTGGTAAACAGTGGGTATCAAATAATAATATCGTTTTTTGGCAATGTTACGTTTGTCTATCTTCTTCATAAATTCAACAGCATCTATCGCGCAGTAGGTGCAAACCATATTCCTAACCGGATGCAGCTTCTCCACCATACACTGGGCCAAAAATACTGGGGGAAACGACAATTGTCACGTTTGGACGCATTAGGGCGCACTTTTTATGAACTTTAGGAAGACCGTACAATTTCGATGTATGTCCACCTGAAGGATACATCTTTTTGAATTTCTTAGTTGTGATAACGTTTGCTTACATTATTTGCCTGAGGCAGCTCGTTAGCTGTTTCTCTGACTCCTCTGTGTTGTCTTTTCCTTTTATGAGCCTCTGAAACTTGGCCAACTGATAATATCACCCAACCGTTTGGTTTTCACCTGAGCTTTAATGTGATAATTTTTCTTTTTACTTTACTTAGGTTTTATGGCCTAGCCCTAGGCTGTCGAGTTGACTGTTGAAAGAACTTCGAAATAAATTTTATAAGAAGATTTGAAACTAACAACAACTAAACTCTGTCATGTGAACGTTTGGGTCCGATGAGAGTTTATCCGAAAAGAATTCCTAAGCAAACACATTTTTGTCTTGCTTTTCTGGCAGCAATGACTGTTAATTGTGGAGTATTACCAACTTGTAACACACGGCACACCAATGCCTGGAGCTAAAGCAATACATTGGCTATAGGAAGCCTCCAGTAATGTTATTGTCATAATTGATTGTCAATTGCTGTCTTGAGGATAAGTTCTAGGGGAGCATAGTTGATCGCCAGAGGTCCGCATGAATTAGGCTAGCATTTGAAACGGTGCTACCTAAGAATGGCGCTTTACAATTATGCACGGTACGAATGAGGAATCTGTCCATGAATTTTAGGATTTTACTGCAGTCTAGACCTTGTTATGTCCGTCGACATGGTTGCCTACTAACCATGTTGTTCAACAAGTGGTTCTTCAACAGCACTAACATTGTTTAGTCTCCGTGAGTCTGACTGTTGATACGAAAACTGGTAGTACACCTTCTACATTCACAGCAAAGTCTAGGTAACCGTTGCTGATGATCGTTGTGCTGTCGTCAATCCTATGGCTACCAGAGACGATACATTTGGCTAGATAAGTGATTTGATTGAGCAGTTCCGACGGTTGAACTGTTGCCCCACCACTACAATCACTCATTTCTGCACGACTTCCAGATGCTCTAGAGGTGTATACCAAATGTTCATGCTTTTCGACAATTTATTCAGTTGTATTTATATATAAGCTGTGTCTTCACCATGCAAAGGATATACCACCCAGATACTTTAATTACGGTCAGTCACTCGGCCGAACTGCTGGTGCGGGGGAGACAAACTATCCTGTTTGTCACACTTTGCATCAATGGAAAGAGTGGAACAAGTAGGGACTAATACGCTCGAGTTTATACTGAATTCAGATGTCAGCTTTGCCTTGGTTCTTAAATAACCACAGCGGTTGTGCTATAACTCTACCTTTAACTCACTCACTGCTACAAGCTGATAAAATAAACTGATGAATTGCTATCGTACATTCATGGAGAACGTCTGCTACAGATTACCCTGAGTTTAGGTGTCTAGTGAAATTCAATTACATTCTTATCTTTTAGCGATTAATATCCGATCTGTCTTTTACTGATTAAACTACTTGTCCATCCAGAATGTGTGATTAGGGGACTTCTAGGGATAGCAACAGTAAGGCCACTGTCTGTGGACAACTTTCGGCTAAAATAGATGCTAAATTGTTCTGTAAAACTGCATACAAGAGCGTTAGCGGCTTCAGTCAGCACTGCTAGATAGATTGAGACCGCGGGGACTAAGAGGATTGTTCATGTGAAATCCGAGGTAGGTCTGTATTAGTTTCATCAAGTGATTCAGCAACCAGCCAAACTGCATGCCCTTGAACTAGCTGTTCAAACTTTTGGATTGATATCAGGATGACGTATACTCACATAATTCACAACAAATGTTCCGCTAAAGGAAACCGTCCTTAATGTTCTCAGCGATGGCTATGATCGAGGTCAGAGTACTCTTTACCATGCTAACATACTACAATTTAGGGGACGCACCTGTCATCCACCAAGTTTTATGACCAGCTTTGAGACGTTTCTGAGATGCTGACGTTACTTATGTCTAGAAACTCCTCGCACAAATTGAGCGTACTTGCAAGAATATGAAGACTACATTTCTAGCTGGGCAATTACATCACATCGAGATCTCCTTTCATACCGCAGAGGAGAGGATTCCAGAAGTTACTGGGTTCATCTGTTCGGTTGGCCAGCTACAACGAAGCCTCGACTCTAGGTGCAACATCCGCCTGGTGATCAGTGCATTCAAATGGCGGAGAGACTGTGGTCCTGGAATTTGGGCTGCCGCTTACTGATGGAAGTGACCTTATAAAATTAGTGTCTAAGGTCTTTTAACAGATCGGCTTTCAGCGCTGAACTAGCGTGAAAAGTACTTGACCGATAGTTTTAGTGACAATTTGTGACAAATCCATTCCTTTGTTCCCTGGATTTAAAGTTTGTGCTTGATCTTTGCTTTTAATGCACGGTATCTTTCTAGAATTTTGCACAGACCTAGCATCATGGCTAGTATATCAAATGTCAGCTTTGTACCAGCCTCTATTAAGAGATTCTGTCTGTAATGCGCTGTTTGCACTATTTCTTCACTTCTTGAAGCAATTTCGACGACATAAATACCAATCACCACAGGCAAGGCTTAAAGATCAATGCAAAAGTTGTAGATATACTCGGAGGTATCAGGGAGTGTAACCGGAGGGACAATCGTATACCCAACTAAAGTAATTGAGCAAAGCTTCCTACCTGTGGTACGTACTGAGTATGGAAACACTCCATTCGTGATCTGACGCTTTAATTTTACCCGTAGAGAGTATCCTTGGCAAGGAAGCACTAACCAGCTTGACGCAATTCACTATGGACTCTCTGATGGTGCACAACCATAGTTAACCCGCGTGATGTTCCCATCTGTGGTTTTTTAGCCCAAAGTTACGCCTTTGGGACGCCCTGTGCTGAATCCTCCGAAGAAGCAGGAGCATAACTTGTCTGAGGCGCTGGATGAAAACACTATGATGAGAAGGGCAAACGAAGTACTGCGTTCCTTGGAGTCGACACATCCGAAAAAAATTCAAAATATGAATCATTACAAACGCACTCGTAGATTACAAAGAACCGGATTCAAGTAAGTTGACTACTGCCCCATACAGCTTGACATTACACCTACTGGGGCGACCTAACATTCCGAAGACATGATCCAGAAAAGCTCTCGTTTTAGTCTCAAGGCTAAATAATGTTAGTGTGCCAACACTCTGCGCTTTTCGGCAGTTTTACGAAGATAAACGATTAGACTTGTGAATTTTTGTCAGCGGATATTTACTCCATGGGATAGGAAGTTCAGTCTCTCGCTGTGTTGCACTGCTGACAAGTCTTCAGTGGAGGGAATGAACGTTCAGTGTAAATGCAAATGTGTGGTATCTGTTGTTTTAAGCGCAACTGTAATCTGGCTTTGGAACTTATCGCACGACTTCATCATCGCCAGCTTAACCATGTTCGATTCAGACCGAAACGACTTCAATGATGGGGTATCCAACATGTGGGCCTCCCCAAGTGTGCATTCGGACAATACTACCCTTCGATATTTTCACTTCTCGACTCATACATACGTCTACATGTGGAATACGCAATAAGGGTCTGGCAGCCATGGCTGAGGAGAGATCTCACCGCCTTGGAGATACTCCAAAGCCGGACAACCAAAACTCAAAGGTCTGTATGATTTGCCGTGTGAACGAAGGCTACAAGTGCTCGGGGTCTTCAACAGGCAATATCAACGATTGCGCGGGGACCACATTTTGACTTACCAAATTTTGTGAGATCCTAACCACACTTTCCTCTACTTTCAAGAGCCCAGTCACAACAGCGATTTGAGAGGCTCTGATCTCAAACTGGCAGTGTGGCACAGTCGCTTGGAATGCCGTCGGAATTTCTTTTGCGTACGCGTTCGCCGTACGTGGAATGCCCTACCGAAATCTGTCATATGTGCTCCCACGCTGGCAGAGTTCAGATCCAGGGTTGATCTTGCAGTTATTTTGCTGCACCATATTACCTGACCCATTACTCATGGATAAACACAAGTGTCTGTAAGAGATTTCACTGGCGGTCCAACCCTAGATTTCGTTCCACCTTTTTCATCTCCTTTACGCGTACACCAGAAGGAGACGCAATTTGCATAAACACCTCATTTGCTGTAATTTCTTGTTCATTCACCTTGGATTAACAGTCTATACTACGTATACTTCAGTGAGTTCACTGTGTAAGCCCCATTTTGCCAACAATTTTTTATCTTTTGAATTTTCACCATAACCATTCTACGGGACATGTTAAGCATTAGCTTTTATACCCGTGTAAAACCATTATTCCATGTATACCAAGTATATGTGTTTTTGTCGAATCCTGGTTGCTGTTTGCTAAAGATACTTAGTATTTGTTACCCCTATAATAATGTTATTTTCCGAATGCCTGCCAGAGAACTAAGACTGTAATCTGCTTTCCAGTAATAGCTCCAAACACATTGTGCTGCCGCGTATGCTCTAGAATTCTGATCGACTTGCACTTTTATTGGATTTGTCTTACCTGAAATTTGTGTCCGTTTCTCACCTATTGGCTTTAGTCAAGATCCTTTCATACTCAAGGAGAGTGGACTTCTCTATCAGGTTATTAATTACCACTTCTTTATGTTTTGAAGATAGGTGAGAAATATTTACACCGTTGTGTAGTGTTGATCACTGCAAAGCTGGGTAAGCTTCTTTACAATGACTTCAGTGTTCGAACCTTGCGGATACCATGGTTTTCTTAGGCGATTTTCGTTCCTTCGTTTCTGGATTGCTCGGTCATTCGGCAGATGGATGGGTAGAGTTGTCTAGTTGAGCGAAACGTTTTCGCCTTACTTTAAATCCATTGAACTTGCGGTATAGTGCGGCTGCATACATTTAACACAGTGTTACCCATCAAAAGTAGTTGGAATTTTGAAGGTGCCGAAGTAGTTTTCTGGCTCATGTGTACCGATGCATGTCCCACAACGTGGCACCCTTACTACAGTTTTCACCCTCCTTCACTGCCTTCAATGAGCCAAAGTTTTACTGTCAGAACTTTGCCTACGCATCGGTAGATCAAAAGTGAGTAAGGAGGTTAGTAACCGCGCAAGTTTTTTTCTATGAGCAAGTTTCGCGCATTACCTTTTTCCCCTATTCGAACAACTTTTGTCATTGCGATACATTTGAAGAAGGCTTTCAGTGCACTCTCTCACCTCGCGATTCCACTTTTACTAAGGTGACCATAAATACTGTGAAGCTTTTCAAACAGCTATTTTTATGAATGTCATGGTTTGCTAGGAGTGCGGTAGAACTTCGGCTTCAAAAACGCACAAATTACGTAGTTGCAGTACAATAAGAATTGGACATCCAGTGAAGCTATTGTTACAACGCGAGTTGTGGCCTCAATTAGTTGTCTTCAAGACAACAGGTTTCATAAGACTATGGGTGACAAACCGGAACCATCGACTGATCGCCTAAAATGAGTACATCATCTCGGACATACCGCCCTAAGAAATATGCACGTCTCTTACCTACATTAACTCCCCTTTTTACTGCCACGCTCATGTTCTCTAGCATATGCATGTCTTATTCTCAGGTTGATCCTTCTCACAAGGTGGAACACATGCGTTTTTAATAAACCAATTAATTTGAACGTGTTTCATACTTGCCTGGCGACATCACAGCTAGTTGATAATTGGAAAACTAGATAATTGTATTGAATTGTTTCTTCCAAGATGAAGCATCCCGTATATGGTGAGTACCCCGGTTCCCCACAGATAATGTGCAAAAGTGCTAACAATTCATTTCAATTCACTAAAAGGAAGCAAACTTGAAAGCGTGCACATGAGTTTGGCCTGTTCCAACATCACTAACTCTTGTAGCATCCCCCACTAAAGTATCTTTTTAATGTTCAAATATTTTAATGTTCAAATATTACGTGGTTCACTTTAAATTGTAGCCGACAACGATACGATACTATCGCACGAGCCTTGAGTGAACTCGTGGTTTTCTCTCCTGCCTTCTTTTGCCCTAGAAAGTCGTGTATATTTTCGACCTCCTTAGGGACATATCAACTAAAATGGCAGTAGCGAGCATTCCGCTTTTCACTGAACTCCGATAAGCCGAAAGCAGTTTTATGTATGGCTTTCTGCTACTAGGAGTTACCATTAAATTTCTCAATGGTTAACATAGGCTTTTTTTACGCTGCTTTATGGCTTATGTGGTTTAGGTGAATCGACCTTTGTTCCCGCTAGTTGTTCATCTCCACCTGCTCCTGAGTGTTAAGACGACAATGGAACAATGTTTTGATTCGGGTAAAAATGCTAAAACATAATAGGTCCCGCAGGATGATCATGGTAACTTTTACAAAATATGGAAAATGGGTCTACAGGAACAAGTTCACACTGTTGGACGCACCGCTCTATACGTAGTATAAATTGTAAATTCACTGTAATTCCATAAGCAATGACAACTAATGGGACTTTTGTAACTACCGTGTCGCCCCCTAATGAACACATGCAAGGGTGAAAACGTGAAACCTATTTTGGTAATTCACCATAAGTGAAATCACTAACTGGCACTGATGTCTAGCTGTGGGCATTGAGTCATGTGAGTTGGTTCAGAGAAATGAGCGAAAAGTCAACTCAAGCCTTGAACTCTGCAGTGTGAGAGCACAGATAACAGATTCCGCAGAGCATTGCACGCTTGGCGAACACGTACGGGAAGAAAATTCAGACGGCATTCCAAGCGATTGTACAGCGTTGACAGCTTGAGATGGTGTCTTCTCAGATTATTGTTTTAACTGAGTTCCAGCAAGTGACGGTTGCGATCTCCCACAACCTGATAAGTCAAAAGAAAACCCACACGCAATCGCCGATATTGTCCGCTGAAGACCCCGAGCAATCGAAGCCTTTGTTCAGACGGTAAGTTGTATAAGCTTTTAACGTTCTTGGTTACCTGGGCGTTGAGATGTCTCCAAAGCGATAAGATCCATCCTCAGCCATGACTGCCAGACAGGCATTGCGTATTCCGCATGTGGTGTGTATGAACCTAAGTTGCTTAAAAATCGATGCGGCGAAACGTCCAAATGCACTTCGCAGGTGGCCCACATTTTGGATGCCACTTAGTGATGCCTTTTCAGCCTAGTCCCAACGGCCGAGGTCGGTTTGTATCTAAGCCCTGAGATCATATGACCTGGAGGACATTGGAAACATATCGTTAACAAGCCTATGGCTGCTCGCAATCTAGTTCCGTAAGTTCATCACTCTACATTTTTCTACATTAAGCTGAAGTGCATTCTACATTGACCGTGCGTAAAACCCATCCAGATCGGCCTGAAGTAGTGTAATAGCATCAGGTCTATTGGTCGCCCATCATACCTTTATGTCATCTGCATAGAGCAGACAGTTCGAGCATATGTGTTAAATCTTTGATAAACGTCGACAATAACCGTTGACCCATTACTGATCCATGTGGTATTCCACATTCAAACTGAACTGCATCTGATAAGAATTCACGCACTTTATAATCTCCAAGCCTCCGTGGAGTTGAAAGCTTTTTGTGCACCCAAGGGGGGAGTTACCAACGACATGCGTTTGGCGTTTCGATGGAAGAATATTACGGTTCAATCCCTAGAACTCGCGAAAAACTACATCAACTGCTGTGTCAGTGTCAGATGCGTCGGTCCAGCTGGTTCGTGTTAGCAGTTGATTGGCAATGCACGTTCAATCTCCTCAGAAGTCATGTAGTCCTGGTGCAGGGTAAGTAAATTCTTCCAAGCAGGTCGGTAGCACATCAGCAATAATTGCTTCCACGACCTTAAAATCTCCCGGTAGTAGGGTTACTTGGTGGTCTTATTCTAATCTTTTGTATTTTATTATGTGGCCCTAGTACTATGGGAAACACTACTCTCCCAGTCAACGACCAACACAATGGACTCTACCCACTTGCATTGATCTATGTCACATTTATTACACTACGCCGATCTGGCGTCGAACCAGATTCTTCCTACCTCGTTTATGTCAACTTCAACGGCGTCTTTCCAACAAAAACCCCACATCCGTAACATTCGCCACGAAAAGTTTTTCACTGC